TAAACTACACCTACCGTAAAGACCAACACGGCAAGAGTACCGGTGTGCCAATCGACGAATACAACCACGCGTTAGACGCGTTACGCTACGCGATGGAGGCACATACACGCCCCAAAATAATGAGGTTTGCAGGATGAGCGAACTACGCCACATCAAGGTAAAGCGCTTCTTCGCCCTAAACGATGACGATTTTCGAGCGCTATTTTTCACCCTCCGACACGTCGCGGGGTCACCTAGATTCTGTGGCGGCTCGGCGGCGAACCTACAAGCGTTGCCGTTTTGCGACGTCTCGTTTTTGAAGACGGGGTTAGCCAAATTCACTCCTCATAACGCGTGTGAGATGATGCGTATCGTGTTCGAAGTGCCACACCGCAAGACGCTGAACGCCGATATTGTGGTGTTTTTGAAGCGCTTAACTACGTCAAAAACGGAGGTGCAGAAGATAGTAGAACGAGAGAACGAACATCTACGCCCTGCATCCATGCCGCCAAAGCTAGTCAACGCAGGTCTTGACAAGCTAGCGATATTTGGAGATATGAATCATATTTTTAAACTTGCAGAAACATTTAGCCAACCTCCCACAGGTGGTGGAGAGGTTTGGAATTAACGCCCTTCGTCTTCTCGATACTATACCGGAATGAAGGTGCTAAATGATATAGACATGGCATACAACAGATGACAAATGTAGACTACTTCAAGGGTTTCGCCGAGCAGCACGGGCACTACTTTCAACACGATCGCGAACGGTTAGACTTCTCCAACCTCGCCGATGCCGACGGCGAGGACGACCCACAATTAAAGGTGTTCCATTTTACCCAACGGTTTACCCGATTTTAGAAGGTGACAACGTAGTTACAGCTATGAACTATGAGGGTGTAATGTTCATGCTATACAAGGATGGGTCGACCATCGACGAGGAGATAAAGGGTAATGAAGGCAAGTACGAGAGGCGGGTCAAAAAGCTAATAGACAACGGAGGAATATTCAACGACCTCTACACATACGCCTGCGGCACACCTCATACCTTGAACATTCGCCCCAACGCAACGGAGGTGTACAACCAGTTTGATGTTAACTTTGACGGTATCATTGTGTTTTATGCATTAAAAATAACGAATGCCTGATGGACGTCATAACCAAAATCACCAATGTTTTGACAGAAGAGTTTTTAAACAAAAAGAACGAGGTAGTTACGTCTTACATTTCGAAGGGTTTGAAAGCAAGCGGGCATTGGGGGAGGACGGTAAGCGTCAATTTGACCACCTCCGATACAGAGGTGACGGCGCAAATGTTAGGCAACGAATACACTCGTAAAATGATATACGGGACGCCGCCCAAATGTGTGTTCCATACCAAGTGACGAATGGCTTGGAACTCGCACAAAATTTAGAGAAATGGATCGAGGACAAAGGTATAAACGACGGGGTTGAAGATGCAAAGAAGATGAACCCATACGCCCTGTCCTATTCTATACTTCGACGCGGGTCGAAGCGCTACCGCGAAGGTGCTAGTGACCTATTAGACGAAGCATTTAGCAAGGCGTGGCAAACAGATGTTAAGAAACAAGGTGCGCGATGTGGCTGGAAAGACCTTTGCCGATTTCATATACGATTTTTTGAAAAATAATATAGAGGAAAAACCAAAAGAAAATGGCTAATTTTGATATTATCTGGGCTTGACTTAGAGACACCCGTAAAACATATTCGACAACGTCAACGTGACGCTGAACGTCGATGACCTAGGAAACAGACACCTTTGACACTATTCAGCTGCAAGCTGGCAACACTACCCTGTTCGTGAGGACGCCGACCAACAAGGTGGACGTCCTTGTTCAACTCGCGGAGTTGCTTCGGGTAATGTACGCACGGGTGGCGTTCGAAGATGAAAGTAACTTCGGATTTTACACATACGACGACTATCTGGCACACGACACAGCACTTGCAAAGTACATCGACATTGGTATTACCGTTGTCACCCACACGTCGGGAGGTGCAGTGTCTGAAACCTTACAGACATCTATCACGGTGATAGCGACGTTAGGTGCTTCGGCGGTGACATCGCAGCTACTCAAATACAGGGGGTCGTCGGCTTTCTATCAAAGCATCAACTCGATGCTACCCGAACAACACACCTTGACGTCGGTGACATATTTCGAAGGGTATCCATTTGATCTACCTTTGTTCTTGTCAAAAGTGCCGACCACCTTCACCGTTACAAACCTTACTAACGGCGCTTACGCCGACCTTATGACGATGTTTGACGGGGTTGGCATGTACCGATTCAACATCGACGACGGTGTTGTAAACCTAAACATCCTTGAAATTTTAGCGATCAATGAAGGACATAACGAGATAGAATTTTACGACAAACGAAGCCACCTCCACGGTGTTGCTAAACGAAGCGCGACGAGTGTGAGGGTGTGTATTTGAAATTCCTCAACAGCAGAGGGACGTATACATACTGGTTGTTTTTCCAAAGAATACAGCATCGAGCGTACTGGGAAAAACTACCCAGCGAAGACAACGGACTATGATAACATCGCCGACACCGTTAAGCGCTCGACGTTGCTAGGTGCGTCATCCATGGACAGTGTACTGCTGAATTCAGGGAAGATGACAATCCCAGAATCAATTTTAGTAACCGAAATTTTAGGGTCTCCATCGATCCAGCTATACACCCGCGACAAACACAGTAGTAACGATGCAGATAGGTGGGTGACGGTGACACTCGCTAACGGGACAGCACCCATTAGGCGAAGCAAACACGATTTTATGTACCTTGAAATTAAGGTGCTATTGCCTGAAAGATACAGCCAAAAATTATGATCACATTATACCTTGGCGGTCAAGAAGTAGACCTGTTCGACAGCGTAGCGATAGCGCAAACGTTGCAAAATAACGACCTGCGAACGCTTGATGAACGTAACAATAGTTTTAGCCACACCTTCAAAGTACCGGCAACGCAAAAAAACATCAACCTGTTTGACGCGTTAAGCGTCATAGGCAACGCGTCGACGAAGACAAAGCAACGGATAGAGGCGTCTTTAAGCGTTAACGGAGTGACAACCCTCGATGAGGGATACGCTAAGATCAAGTCATTCACCAAAGATGCCGTCACCTCCTATTTCGAGGTCTCCGTGTTTGGTAAGAATGCGACCCTTAAGAATACATTAGGGGACAAGAAGGTTGTAGACCTCGACTTCTCTTTTGCGAACCACGCGCTAAACGTGTACACGATCAAATTAGGCGCTAAATCCAACGGTGGTTACAAGTACCTCTACGCCGTTTATGATAAAAATACCGGAAAGATCAAATCCAATTTAGAGATATCGATCCTTCGGGATCTATCTTCGTAGGTCGGGACGTGTGGACGGGTCAAGCTAACGCCATTCACTTGGATTCCTTCGTACCGGGGGTCTTCCTGCATACGCTTTTTTATCAAATTTTGATGCAGAACGGCTTTGAAATAAGACGCTAATTCAGACATCGTGGACGATGCAGCCCAAGACATTCACCCTTTGCAGAACACTCAAAGGGTAGGTTTCATCATGAGGTCATAAATGCCAGTTCGCGGCTTACCTCCAGCAAACCATCCAGAACGATACATGCAACCAGTTCTCAAAGACCACCGCGCGGATCGAATGCACGACCCTCTAAATCCTTTGAACAACACTATTACCAACGTTAATTTTCACAAAAATTTAAAGACCGCCTACATCCACTTTGGCAACACGGCTACGTCGTATGTTGACGCTACGGGCACACATCCAGTGCCGCCAACAGCGTCGCAGGGTGAATTTGTTACGGGGTCAGCGTCTACCCCAAATCCCGAAGGGTACAATGAGGTTTTCTCGTTTACCGCATCGCCAAACGGCAGTGACGTTGTTCTTAAAAATAGTGGTCGAAACCACTGGCGACATCGCCAATGTAGGTATAGTCGTTGAAATTGACGGTGTGTTTATGTACGGAAAACAACTTAGCGACAACGGCGTTGAGCCGACGGGATCGTCGTCGACATTTAGGGAGTTCTTTGTGATCGTGTTGCGCGACTTCAACCAACCATCAAGCGTAATACGTGTCGGCTATCAATGGGTAGACCAAAAACCGAACCAAATATTTGAGATAAAGAACACCTACATTGTGTTCTCTGCTGCGGACATCACCAAGGGTAGGGAGGTTGACTTTACCAAGATTTTGGACAGCAACATTAAGCAAATAGACATCATCAAAGAGGTGATAAATAAGTACGGCTTTAGCGTACTTTAGGGATAGTGGTAATAAGTATGTTTTCAAGTCCATTCAAAATTTCATCAGCGACAAAAGCGCCACCAACGTTGAATTGATTGGACGGCTAAATTCTCGCATCTTAAAAAAGAAACGTATTCATTCGATGAAAAATATGGCAAGAAGAACTACATGCGTTACGCCGAAGGTGAAGGGGCAACGATGGACGCGTTTCTACCACTCGACAAAGAGGGTGAGAGTGAATATACTTTCTTCCAAAGCCTCTTTGCGCTTCCTCGAATGTTCTACTACCCTTCTTATGCAGTGCTGCTCAACATTCATTTCCCCGAATATGCAAACCTCCCCTTTTATAACCTCTATTCCGACACTTTGGCTGGTGACATAAAGACAACTGTCGTCATGGAACACCCGACCAACCTAGTACACGCGTCGGCTGAACCCTTTACCTTTGATGGGTCGTTGTTATTCAAGAATTTTAACACTACTTTTTTTGGCGACAACTTCGAATTGTACAATGTCAGGTTGCTAAACCTAGATTTACAATATTACACTCCCTTTTACAACGCGATTTTTGAAGCGATATCCAAAAACGAAATAAAAACAGTAGCTTTGAACATGAACCCTACAGACGTAATGGATTCGGTGTTCCAAAAGCTAAAGTATATCGAACAATTGGGAGGTGTTTTTTATTTAAATAAGATCAAACAATTACAAACTAAGGGGTTCGTTGACCGAAGTTGAATTAATCCAAGTATAATGGCAGCTGACCCCATCATATTAGCAGAACTAAAAGTCAATACTGACGAACTCGTTGCCGAAAACGACAAGGTTATCAAGAAACTGATAGCCCTTAAAGAGCAACAGAAAGAACTCAAAAAAGAAACCGCGAATTTAACAACCGCCGACGCGAAGCAAATACGCACCTTCACTGACAAGGAACGCGCGATCAAAACCTTGACCAATCAATACAACGCCAACAACAAAACTATTGAGGCTAGTAAAACAGCCGTAGAGGAAAACACCCGCACGTTATTTAAGGAGGTTAAAACAATAGCTGAAGCCAAGACAGCTAACAAAGACCTCGCCGCTGCCCGCGAGAAGGTAGACACCTCTACCAAGGAAGGCGAGGTCACCTTAAAGTTGATTAACAAAACCATAAAGAAAAACAACGACTTCGTCAAATCAAGCACTTCGGTGGCTAAAGAACAAGAGGTGACGCTAAGTAATGTTGCCGAAAAATTAAAAGAGGAGACCAACTCTATCGACGAGGCGCGCGAATCTAACAAAGCACTCCTTAAGGTGCGTAATGAATTAAATTTAAACACTAAAGAAGGCCTAGAAGCACGCGACGCCATCAATAAAAAAATAGACGAAAACAACGACTTCATCAAGGACAACGTGAGTGCCCTCGAGGAACAGAAGATAGGAATAGGAAGTTATGAGGAGAGTATCAAAGGTGCATTGTCCTCACTCGGTCCCTTCGGGGCTGTCCTTACAGGCACACATGAGCGCCTAAAAGCAGCCGCGGTGGCGGCTAAAGAACAGGCGGCGGCACTTACTGCAATGACAGCTTCTACTAATGCATCCTCAAAAGCGTTGAAGCTATTCCGTCTTGCCCTCATCAGCACAGGTGTTGGCGCGTTGGTCGTGGCACTTGGCGCGTTGATCACGTTTCTATCCACAACACAACGCGGGATCAACTTCATCAACAAAGGGCTCGAAGCGTTTAAAGCAATAAGCGCAGCCTTGCTGGGAGAGGTTCAGCAGCTTGGCGAAACTATATTCGACGCCTTCGCCAACCCGCAGGAGGCAGTACGGAAGTTATGGGAGGTCATCAAAACTAGCCTTGTAAACAGAGTAGTCGCGGTGGGGGAGGTCTTTCAAAAGTTTAGGTAAGATAATCAGCAGCGGGTTCGCTGACGGGTACACCGACTTAGCCAATGCCAACTTGAAGGTGGTAACAGGTGTCGACGATCTTATTGGCAAGACAAGGAGGGGCGCGCAAGGATTCACAAAGCTAATTTCAGACGCTGCAGGCACAGGTGTGAGGATCGCGGAGATAGAAGCTGAACTAGGCCGCACAGCAGCTGACTTCGTGAAGCGCCAAACAGAATTGTCGCTAGCCTTTGAGCGACAAAAGGCAATTGCAGAGGACATAACCAAGACGGACGAACAAAGGAGGGTAGCTGGCGAGCGGTCAATAGCGATAGCACGGGAAGAGGCGGCAGTAGTGAAAGAGCGTAGTGACCTGGAGGTCGAACTACTAAACCTGAAAGCATCATTAAACGACACTAGCGATGAAGATCGTTTAGAAATTCAGAACAAAATAAACGAGGCGTTGATCGCGGAGAAGGATGCCACGGGTAAGGTGACGGGCGAGAAGAACAAACTAAACGCTTTGAACGTTGCTATTGCTCAAAAGGCAATCAACGCTTCAAAAAGTGAACTGGAATTATTTATAAAAAACAACGAGTATTCCACAAAGGCGTTAGCCGACCAATTGAAGATTGAAGAGGAGGTCTCCGCAAGGCGGATAGAAATTATAAACGAGGAGGTGGCTAAAAAATTGAAGACCACCGAAGCTGCAGAAACAGAGAAGCGAGCCATCGAAGCGGAGAGCGCTAAGAAGCGCGCGGAATTGACGGTGCAATACCTCAACGAAGAAGTGGCGTTAAGCAATACGTCTTTGAGTGATGAATTAATACGCGAGGGTATCACTAACGATGAGAAGTACGAACTACGCCGCAAGCACCTGGAAGAAATAAAGGCACTCGAGCTAGAGAAGCTACAAGAGCGTAGGGATGCAGAGGTCATTTCTGAAAGGCAATATAACGTTGAAAAAATAGGGATTGAAAGCAAATTCTTAAATGACAAATTCACTTTACAAAAAGCCGAAGAAGAACGGGTTAGGCAAGGTCAACTATTCGACACCCAACTGCAACGCCAAGCCGATGCGCTCGACGCACAGGAGTATAACTCAAATCAGTTCTCGCAAGAGCTAGCACGCATATCACAAGAACAAGCCGACAGGGAGGTGCTGTACCAATCACAAAGAGAGAAGCTCTTAATATCAGAAGAGCAATTTCAACAAGCGCTGATAAACATTGAACGCACAGCAGCGTTGAAGAAACGCGACATCTCACGTGCGGCACTGTTCCAGCAGATAGCTGGTGCGGCGCAGGTAGCAGGAGCAATAGGTCAAATTGCGGGAGAACAAACGGCGGTTAGCAAGGCGGCAGCGATAGCGCAAAGTACTATCAATACCTACTCCGCAGCAACACAGGCGTTGCTTATACCTCCGCCAGCGGGCCAAATAATAGCGGGTATTTTGGTAGCTGCAGGACTAGCCAACGTTGCCAAGATTAGCAGGCATTGACATCGGCGGAATAGGCGAGGGGTTGAACATCCCTTGCAGGTGGACTGACAACCATCAAAGGAGGACAGATAAGCAAAGGAGGTGGCTCTATTCCCAAAGCAAGTGGCGGCGGCTTATTCAGGATAGGAGGTAGGGCACATGCAGAGGGAGGTACTAAGTTCTACGGGGAGGACGGCACGGTGTTCGAGGGTGAGAAAGATGAGTTAGTAGGCGTGATTGAACCAAACGCGCAGCTTCGTTGTTCATGGGGTTCAACGAGGCGTTTAAAAACAATCAAGAAATTACGGATTTAACACCTTACCGCTGGGGGAGGTATAGTGCAACGCACGCGCGCGGCATCACTGGGGTTGAACTGCAAAATATGCGTGACCTGTTCATCATCGAAGCTGCAGCAGCATTGCCGCCTCCTATTGTGACGGTCGAGGACATCAAACACAGGACAAAGTAAGGGTAGCTAGTGTCATAGACGAGAGTATACTATGATGAAGATATACAACATAATAAGTGGGTGGGTAAACTATTTGTTTTTCAAAAACGAAAAACTATCTATTACGCACGCGCCAAGATATGCAGCACATGCAAGTACTGCGTACATGGTACTTTTGAGTTGCTACTCCCAGACAGCACTATTAAAAACATTCAAGGCAAGAAGTGCGCTAAATGCGGGTGTCCTATATCACCAAAAATAAGAAGCAAAAAAGAAACATGTCCACTCTCAAAGTGGTAAACCCATGTATAATCTTTTAAAAAAATTAGAGGATAAAAAACAGCTAGCACCGTTGCTAAAGAACGGGGTGATTTCGATCACCCTTGCAGTGCAAAAAGACATCTACGAACAATGTTTAGAACTCGAAGGTACAAGCGAACTGAAAAAGAGTAAGGTTTTTAAAAGGGTGTCTGAAAAAATGGGTGTGGTCCCTCCGCACCGTGCAGCGCACCTACAAGCGTATGAAGGGGTAGCGACAAAGTGGTGTCGCGTAAATACTTGCATGTTCAAACAAACGTTTACACATTTGTGTAAATGGAGCAAATCAACATCTACGGGAAGGTAGCCGAAGGACTACACAAAAGGATAGAAGCGGAGGTAAAGGCATTCAAAGGGAATGACATCGCCGTGCATATCAACTCACCAGGTGGTGACATACAGGAGGGCTTCGCTGTCTACTCCTTACTGGCGTGCTCTATCAGACAGCGGTAAAACCATCACCACCATTTGTGCTGGTGAATGTTCAAAGCGCAGCGTCTATTATATTTAATGGCGGGCGACAAGCGGGTCGCTAATGAACTACTGGACATCTTCGTCCATAACCCTTGGACTACCGTAGCGGGGGATAAAAAAACATTAGAAAAAAGCGCTTCAACATTAAGTAACCTCGAAAACAGGATGATAGAAATATACACCTCGCGCTCAAAGTTGACTAAAGATGAGGTGCAAAAAAATGATGGCGGAGGAAACGTATATCACGCCGCAAGAAGCTCTCAACTTTGGGATTGCAACGGAGGTCAAGCCGCTATTAAGGGCGGTCGCCTTGAAGAAATTAACAAATGATTTTAAAACTGAAAATAAAATGGAAGAAAAAAAAGAATCCAAACTAGCGATAGCGTTAAACGCTATCAAAAATTTAACATCGTCTATGGGTAAGCCTGTCGCGTTAGTAGTGTTACAAGATGCTAACGGTGTTGAACTCACGTTTCCCGATCTCGGAACAGGGTGATAAGATAGAAGTAGGTAGTAAGGCGACTGTCGGCGAAGACAGTGCGAACGGTACATTTACAATGCTGACGGTATTGCGTATACCTTCGTAGATGGTGTGGTGACAGAGATAAACGACCGTCAATGCCGCAAGAAACAGACGAACCGAAACAGCGCCGACATTGAAAGAAATAGTGGAAGCGGTGAAAGGTTTAGTAGTAGGGGTCAAGAAAGAGAACGACGCAATGCGCGCTGAACTATCAGCTATCCGTAAGGTGCTGGGCTCGAAACTTCCCAATACAAAAACGACACAGTGGCTAACAAAACTAAAGAACAAACGGCGAAGGTGCGTAGCTTGTTCAAAGCCGAAGGCTGGGAAGATACTTTAAAAAAGAAATTTAACTAAAAACAAAGACAATGATTAACGTACAAGATTTAAGTTTCACAGAGGGTAGGGTACAAGACGCTCGCGATATTGCCAAGGCTGTCTTTTTGCAGGTGTTGGCTAACGGCGACCTTAGCGATCACCACGTTATCCAAACTGGGATAAACAGCAAGATGCAAATACCTATCATCGGCGATATCGGACTTACCGGAAAACAAATAACAGGGTGCGAAGTGCTGCATCGGGTAAACAATTTCCCATGAGTGAAAAGTATGGGATCCGACGGTAATAGGTGATAGGTTTGAGCATTGCCAGACAGACGTTGACGCGTTGATCCGTCTGTTCGACGAATACGAGAGGGTTAACCCTGACTTCTTCGATCAGAATTGACAGCAAGCCCTTGGTTTGATTATGGTCAAGATAGCGGAAGGAAGCTAAGAAGGCAGCCGAGCGCTTAGTATGGTTTGGCGACACTGCTGCGAACACTATCGACAACGGTGGCGTGTACGCCAACGGTACAGATATCGGATATTTTCACTCCGTTTGATGGGTTGTGGAAGCAGATATTTGCGGACGTGCCGACAAAACGTCGGACAGGCAGGATTTTATTTTTAAAAATAATTGAAAACGACGGCGCTACCTTCGACGCGCAAAATGATTTGCCGGCTGATATGGCTAAAAAATTGTTTGAAGCGATGTACAATGCTTCATCTACTTTGCTTGAACAACATTTGTTGAAACCATCTATGGGTATGGTTGTCAAAATACACGTGACGCCGTCGATTTATAAAAACTACGTTACTTATTTGGAGAATACTAGTTCTGGATTTTCATTAGAACGTCTTTTAAAGGGGTCTAAAGGTGTTGTTCAGTTCAGAGGTGCTGACGTTGTCCCGCACTTTGACTGGGCTCAAATAATAAAGGGATATAGCACTGATGGTACTAAGTACAACCTACCAAACCGTGCAGTTTTGACGACTAAAAAACAACATACCTGTGGGACTACATCGACAGAGGACATAGACACGATCGATTCTTTCTATGACAGAACTTTAAAGAAAAACATCATGGATTACGCCATGAAGTTGGACGCAAAGTTCCTCACCCCTGACCTTGCAGTAGTGGCTTATTAAAAACGAATGATAACATTTAAAACAAAAAAACATGCCTAGCATTTGCGCAGAAATTTCAAATGATATATTACGTGATTGCGACAACCGAAGCGTCGCGGGTTATAGTACACAGACCTGATATTGATCAAACCGTCACGACCTACCTAATACAGGTATAAGTCAAAGACGCACACTCCTAGTGAGTTACTAACGGGGGATTAGTTTAGGCTACCGGTAAGACAGGGTATAAAGTTGAAGGCATCAAAAAAGTGATGCAATACACTAACGCCTTCGAAGGTGGTGGAGATACCGAAAACGGAGTGCGTCACACCATCACAGGTATACGTGCTGCTGACCCATCAGGTCAAGCGCGCGCGCAAATCAATAAGTTTGTAGCAGGTGCTAAAGTGTATGCGGTTTTGGAGCGCAACTGGAAGGGGGTCGACAACAAAGATGCTTTCTTGTTCTTCGGATTGTCCTTCGGACTAGAACTTTCAGAATTGGGCAGACGGGTCTAACGAAAACGATGGCACTATAGTTTATCAGCTTGGCAACACCCGAAGGTTTTAAAGAGCCTTACTTACCTCATTTGCTTCTTGACACTGACTACGCGACTACGAAGACAGCGTTTGATAACAAGTTTGCCGCCTAAAAAAATATGAATGACGTTTTTTGAGAAATGGGATGAGTATACTGCGCAAGAGATATTAAATGGTACGAAGGAGGACGGCACACGGCTGGTAATAGACTTCGCCAACGACTATCGCGCTGTTTTTTTGAAGGAGTTTTGTTTGTCCTGCAATCAGGCATTACGAAATATAGAACGGTTTTTGAAAATGATAAAAGAGAAAACAATTATGGTCAACAAAACAGGTTTTTTATTAAAGAAAAAATACAACGGAATACCTTTAGGCTTCGGTACAGGTGAGTTTGCTTTCAACGCGACTTTGACAGCAAAGCAAGTGCGTTACTTGCTGCGAAACCATAAGCTAAAGGAGGGGTTATTCGAAAAAATAGGCGACCTTAAAGGTAACCGTACCAAGAACGCCGCACCCGTAAACCAACAAGACAATTTTGACGCTACCGATGAAAAAAAAAAGTAGATGGCAAGCGTTCAACAGGTTTCGGTTTCTTCAATTTCAAAGCGCGAGAACAAGTTTGACAAAAGGCTAGGC